GGTCCAGTAGGTGGCCAAGGCAAGGTTGTAGCTCGCCGGTAAGGCAAAAAACACCAAGAACTTAACCTATAGCTATGATACTATATTAGAATAGCACTACTAAAGAAAGGGCCTTTGGAGTCGGTTTTTTGAGTCGGCAAATTTTACCGTCGCAAAAGGTAGCTGAGACGGCACAGAGTTACTAACTCAAATACCAAACCTTTAGCGTCGGCACCGTTGGCCGACACAAAAAATTAACATTTGATAGCATTACTTGAGTCGGTTCAATTTACCGACGCAAAAGATAGACCTTTTGAGTCGGCATAGACCTTTTGCATTGGCAAATTTGTGCCGACGCAAAAAATTATACCTTTTTGTGTCAGCAACTGATGCCGTAGCAAAAAAAAAAAATTATAGCCAAGATATATATATATATTTACTTGATTATATTTAATAAATATATTTGTTTATACATATACTTTTATATTAATATTGAGTGTATATACTATAAATAATATATATCTCATTTAATATCTAAAAGAGGTATGGTGGTCAAGTGGACTTAGTGCGGTGACTTCGGGTCAAATTGTCCAAATGGAGTGTGTTCAAAACTTGGGAGCCTTAATGAGAAAATTGTGGGTTAAATTTTTTTAAAACATTTAACCACTTTTTGAGTCGGCAATCTACCGTCTCAAAAAATTGAAACTTTTTGCGTCAGTAGATTGTCGACTCAAAAACTTTTTGCGACCCCACCATTTTCGTCCCTTGAGTTGTCGTCGAAACGCCGTCGCAAAAGTTTTTGCGTCTGCAAATACGCTATTTACGACGACATGCTGCCGACTCAAAAGTCCTGTTTTCTAGTAGTGTAGTAGAGAGAGAGATGAGGAAATAATATGTATTGTAGTCAATAAATTGTATTGAATAAATTTTTTCTCATAAGAGAAGGCCTGTATATATAGGTTGAGAAAGAGTATCCTACTAGAAATCTAATTATAAGAAATAGTATCTTATAAGAAACTTAATTATGACAATACTTAATATATTTAGAAAATTAATACCTAATATATGTAAAAATATATACCATATATACATCAACACTAACATTTTTCATTAATTAATAAAGTTGGAAAGAGATCAAGTCCTTATCTTCTTCTTTTTCTTATGTTTAAATAAAAAGAGTAAGGTATTGCTAAGGTGTGAAATTTGTATAGCATTTCGCACCACATTTATTGAAAACAAACAAAATTGTATTATATATAGACCCACAACATTATTCCAATAAAAAAATTATATCTCAATGAATGTATGATTTTATTCAATGGGAAACCAGAGGGCTACCGGATGGGGAGCTCATCATCATTAAATCTTAAAATATAGGACATAAAAATTTTAGAGATTCTAAATATTTTGTTAAATATTTTATATGGGTATGTGATCTATATCATGTGGGTCAGGATTTATACCATGTGAGTCCTATACTCATGTAAAATATTTAGTAAAACATTTGAGATTTCTACTATTACTCTAAATTAAGGGAGTAGCTTCCCTCCGGTCCGATCTAGGATTGGAGGGTGTTGTTGGGTCTGTGGGGGCCCATCACGGGTCCCGTTTTGATAATTCGAATCTTCCAGTATGTAAAATTCATGGAGTACTATATGCTTGTAAAAAATTATATTGATCGGATATCGATAGCTATCTCATCGGATCAGTTTTCTGTCAATCGTTAATTTGTTAACCGTCTATTTTTTTTTTATATAAAATTGATTTGATCACATAGTTATCGATATCCGATCAAAATAATTTTTTACAAACATATAGTACTCGACAAATTTTACATCTTGAAACGATTCGAATTATCAAAACGAAACTCGTGATGAATCTTCACGGGTCCAACAGCACTCTCCAGTCTGATCTAAGACTGGAGGGAAGCTACTCTCCTAAATTAATAGCTAGATTTAGGCCAAGTTTGGAAAGACTAAATAAGTGTATTTTTTGACTTTTTTTTATATTATGTGTAGAAAAAATAGAGAGTAGATGTTGATTAATGTGGCCAAAAAAAAATAAAAAGATACAAACGTGTGACAGGCAAACTTGACCTTAACTTACCTTAACTTGACCTTAACTTACCTTCTCAATGACTTTTCCTTTTTAAATTTTAAAAAAAACGTGTGACGGGCAATTACGCCTAGACCAAAGAAAGTGAAACCCATAAAGACATTTGACAAATACCCAATGATGGCCATCATCCACTGACTTTGATCCACAATACATTCTTCTTATCTTTAAGACAAGGTAGAGGTGGTTTCGTCTAGGATTAAACTCTAGTCTTTGTTTCTATTAAATTTATTTATTTGAATCTTGAACGTTTGATACATATATAACTAATATAATTAATTTTTCTTTTAACAATTAAACTTTTAAATAAGGAGTAATTCTGTTGACATACCATATTTTATGTTAATAAAAACTATTTGTGTCGTTCAAAAGTTAATATTCCAAATATTTATTTTTTTGTTTAAAAATTTATATCGAAACGAAACAAATGATGCATTTTGAGATAAAATATGGTATACGAATAGAATTACTCTTAAATAAAATCTTATGTTTATAGCTCACCAAATACCAATAGAGAAAAGTTTGATCAAAAGTGAGAAAGAGATTGACATTTTGATGACATAAAATAAAATTACTCCATTCTCATTATGCTGTGTTTGGTTGTGAAATTTGAAGAAGGATTTGGAAATGAATATAGAAAAAGAAGGTGAAATGTGAATAAAACATATTTACATTTCACCTAATTTCGCACACTTTTTTCCTTTCATTTTTTAAATCTCTTCACAAATCTTTCAACCAAACACAATATTAATATTATGTTTGATTTATTGGAATGATTCATGCTCACAATCTATTTCATGCCATTCTCTGAAAAAATTAAAATATAATCATTTCATTCTAATGCATTTTCATTTCAATAAACTGAATACTATCTAACAGAATTAGTTTTATTGAATGAAAGTGTAGTTCTGGGATCTCTTTGAACACCTTATCATTTTGATCTTTATAATTAGTACTATCTTTTGAAATTGTAGTTTGGGATGTTGCTTTGAATTTTGATTTTTATTAAAGTTTCTCTTTCATCCTATTTGCATAGAGTCAGACTTTGCTGTTGGCCACGTCTCTTGGGTTTGTGGTGGTGGTGTGTGGGTCACAAGCCACTTGATCTCTCATGAGTGAGTCGGGTATTTTGGTTTGGATTATAACTACTTAAATGAATGTTTCACAATTTCTCACTCCCTTTGTCACTATCTTGATGGCAAATAATTTATCAAAAATGTTAGAGATGTTATAAATTTTATCAAAATTTTTACAAAATGTCTCATATGAATGTGAGACCTACATGGCACCCACATAGTGTGGCTCCCACATCCATGTTATCATGTGGGACATTTGATAGAAATTTTGGTAGAACTTTTAGGATCTCTAGCCTTACTCATAATTTATAGATAGAAGGAGAGTTCAAGAATTAGGTAAACAACTAATAAGTTTTAATGGTTGGACTTAATTCTCATCAAATCCTATTAAAAATAATTTCTAATAAAATCGTCGCTAAAAATAATTTTTTGTGACGATTTTTTGCATATGTTACTAAAAAGTGACAATTAGTGACTTTGCTTTTGTCACGATTTTTATAAATTGTCGCTAAAATTTACAATTAGTGACGTTTTTTTTGATGAATTTTTTAAACTGTCACTAAAATTTTAAAATTAGTAATGTTTTTTGTAACGATTTTTTAAAACCGTCACTAAAACTTATAATTAGTAAATTTTTTTGTGATAAATTTTCAAACTATCGCTGAAAATTAACAATTTGTGATGTGTTTTAATAGTGTTTGACAAAAATGTCATTAATTATTGCAGGACCTATTAGACAATAAGTACACCTATTAAGACTTATATGTAAGTTTACCTTTAGAATTTGGTTATGAATGATTAACGAACCAAATATTTTGACATTGACTCGTATTCAGTTTGTTAAAAGTTCAACCGATTCATACAAGCTAATCTAGAACATATTTTGAAATTTATTAAAATTATTAAGCGAAACTTAAATAATTTATTACTCATTTGACTGGGTTTGATAAGTTTAAAATTATATTAACATACCAAATTCAAATTACTCAAGCTTAGCTCGACAAAAGCTTGTTTAAAATCAACTCAAAAATTTAATGAATTGAACTAAAACAAATTTTGAAACACATTATAATTTACCCATCACCTTAGCATTTTAATTTTATGAAAGAAGACAAAAGATTAAAGTTTCATATTGAATTTAAGGGTACTTCTGTAAATCTGAGTAAGTAATCATTATTGCAGGCTACTGTGCATGTTCAAACTTATTGCTGGTGGGGTAGTTGAATTTTCCCCCCCACATCTAGTGTATATCAACTTTAATAAACATAACCACCTGTAACAGACCCAACAAAAAAATTGCAGATCTAATGGAGAACCAAAAAATAAATAAAAAACAAAACTCTATATACAGAGCATCCATGTTCTAAAAGCATCTCTAATGGTGGATACTTAATAAATGGTAATGTCAAATTCAAAGAACTAAGGCCTCATTTGTTTTGGGTGTGATGGATGGGAGGGAATTAAGATGGAGGTGAGATTATTTAATGTTGTGTTTGTTTGTAGAGTTAGAAAATAAATTATGATGGAGGGGATATAGATGGAAGTTGGAAGGAGAATTGAGATGGAAGAGGTAGATGTGGTTTTAGAAAAATAGTGAGGGGATTAGAAATTTTTTTTATTTTTTGTATATTAGGAATTTTTTTTAAATATTAATATTTAATTTTTTATATTTTTTTATTTGTTTTATTATTTTATATAAAAATAATTTAACAATTCCTACACTAACAACTATCACCAAACTAAAAACAATTTTACTTAATCCACTCACTAACAATCCCCTCCATTCTACCTCTGAAAACAAACAGGGCCTAACTGTTATAATTTTGACAATTATAAAAAAAATGTAATTTCTTTTTATTTTCCTTACAAAATGTCAAATGACATCGTCATTTGGGGAACCCATGATGAGAAGTAGAGAGAGCTTCGCCAAACCTTGACAGTTGTCAAACTTTATGCCAACTTTGGCAAAAGGTTTGGAATGCAATAATACATACAAAAATAGGTGATAAGATTAAAATTAAACAATTAAACCAAGCTTTCAACCAAAAACAAGGCACAACTTGCAATTATTTTTAAATAATTCAGGTTTCAAGCCATGTCAAAGTTCCCATGACCAAGAATCTGCTTGGGAGTTGCCTGGTGGATGGCGCAAGGTATGTAATTTTCTTCCTGGAAAATGAAAAATTACAATTAGAACAAAACAAAAGCAATGTATATACAATATACAATAGCTGTCAATCAAGGAGTGGAAAAATTGGATATTCAAACCTGTGAATGTTGATGTCTATGATATAGATGAACCCGGCAACATTACTGTCAGCAAGAGTAAATTAATCAGTACAGTTGTAGAAAGGGTTAAAAATTTACAGGTAATCCAAATTGGAAGGCTACAAATACATGACTCTTCTGTCACTAACACAGTTTTAAATAGCAGTATTGGGAGACGGCAGTATCTAGAGTATTAAGCAATATGTATCCCCAATTGAGTGATGCCATCAGCCATGAAAAAAGAGTCCATAGCAACCAAATCAATTGTACCAAGTGCTTCTTCTTGCTGTATTATCATAACATAAGAAAAAAGAAAAGGCAATGAATTTGCATACCTTGAAATAATTTGTTCTGGTTCCTTGGCAAACGAAACAGCAAGAACTAAATGAAGCAGGTCCCGGTTGATATTCACAGGGACCAACCTTGTTGGGTCTGCAGCTGGCTCTGCACCAATTGGCAGGGCCGAACGTGGGGCCTGTGGTCCACCAATTTTATACACAGACAAATCACTGAAATTTGCAATATTTGAATGTGGCGAAAGATCATTTACAATGCCATAAAAATATTCCTGGAATAAACAATATCGGCATGATTTAGCTAGTGTACTAGGGAGACAAACAAACAAAGCTAAAAGCCAGGCAATTCATGATTAGCAAATAAAGAATTAACAATCAAGTTCCTATTTAATAACCATAAAGGTTTTTGTTTACCCTTATCCTGTAGCTCCTGGACTTCTGACGGACTTTTGAATTCCTGGATACAACACCACCTGATTTTTGAAGTTTCACAACATCAACATCAGGCTTGCTTTTTAATACATCTTTTAGCATGCTGCAAAGTTTCTCCTGCACAGGGATTTAAGTGAGCATGAAAACATGAACAGATTGGCATAAAAATTGAACCCTACTGAGATAGATTAATAAGAGACAATTAATCGTGATTGGCCCAAGCTAATTTATAAAGATATTAGACATTGCAGTGTGATACAGCCAGGATGAAGTCTGGAAGTAATAACAAACTTTATCTGGAAGAACATTGACATTGATGCTCCATTTTTTTGGAAATAAAAGGTTTTACCCAATTTTTTAATATATTTTTTTAATTTATTTATAATTTTTGGTGTTCAGATGTACATTGAGACATTGTAAAACATTTTACATGCAACTTATTTTACGTTCAGTGTGGTAAAATGACCCATGGATCCATCTTCCATTTGTTATTTTCAAAAACAAATTGAGAGCCTCAACAGTCTTCTCTAGAGATAACAAAAATAAAAAGACATAAATATTGCTTTTAATCGATATTCATCAAAGTTGATGAGTAGTTCTTGAAACCAATGACCATCTTGCAACATGTTCAGCAGCTTTTCAGTACGAACCATAAACTCTCCTATAGAACAACATAGCTTGGGAGCCTTCATGGGGTGATTTGGCTCATTCAAGGTGATTATCATTCACTTTTTACTTCGAATTTGAACCAGTTTTTGATGGCTTTATTCTTCCATTTTCCAGTTTTCAATTGGTTATGCATAGGAATATTGATTGATTTAAATCACAAGTTAAATGTCCTCAAGCTGTTGGGCAGAATGATCGCCAGAAAAGTTTGTTTAGTAGTTTAGCCAAAAACAGGAAGGAAATAAGTAGTAAACACCATTTTACCCGGAAAAATATTTACCGTAAAATATTTTACAATTGAAAACAATTTACGTTGAAACAAATGGAGCCTAAATGTAAAAAGGGTAAAATTTGATCTCTCAAGTTTATCTATACATCTAATTTCCTAGATGATTCTAGCATATCCACCTAAGAAGATGCATGTTAACATGAAACTTTGCATGTAAAGCATCCTAACAAAATCAAAGCAAAAGCAGCAAGGAAAACATTTACCTGACCCAAAACCAGAACAACATTTACATTGAATGTATCAATTGCCTGAAGCAGCAACTGCAGCAAAATACAAAGACGATGCCTAGTTAACAACATATCCCCCCAAAAAAAATTCTAATTGAAGCAACCAGACATTATAATATAACAAGCATTTTGTCAATGGAAGCTTGAAACTCAGTTACCTTATAACCAAGACCCTCTATCCATCCCATGGTATTGATTACCATTCCTGCAGCTCGAGATTCAGCATTTCCAGCAAACTGTCTCTCCAGAGTCTGAGCAAGCTCCTTCGCAAGCACCTTGTACAAATCTGCATTGACACTGCGAAGCACCTATTCTAAAAACATACATGATAGTTGGGAGACGGAAAAGGCTGTAACTAAGCCAAACAATAAGTGGCAATACGAAATTTTGTATTCATGTGGAATCAATCTAGGAAATAAAGAATACGTCAAGAGAAAACAGTCAAAACTGACAAAGGAGAAAAACAATTCATCACCTAGGAGTCGTGTGTCCGTAGAAGTGAACAAGAGGCATTTCAAGAGGGATTCCTTCAACTGGGTCAATTGGCATTTCAATTGGGGTAGCAGCAATACATCCGGGGATGGTTATAGATCCTTGGCCGATATCCAAATCCACAAAAGTAGGTTTCCAACCTCGTTTAGCTGCCCAACTAAGAAGAATCCTTGACAAGGTACTCTTTCCAGAATCTGTAGGTCCCACTACAATTACCCTCGGACCCTGAACCAACAAAAAGTAATGAGACCTGATAAATTAACAAAATCATGCACAAGTACAAAGAGAAACAGCTGGACTTGTCGACCGATAATCTTAGTTGCCCGGAATCCCCCAAATATCTGGACATGTAGACACATGGCACAAGTACTTCCAACTTTGAAAGCAGTCCAAGCTGCTGAACTAGTTAAGAGAGACAAAGAAAAAAATGTTTATTTATGTATTTAGATTTAAGTGAACATGGTAACCCGTGTCTCTTGATGTTTTGCACAAATTTATCAAGAACTCTCTTTAAGAGGGGAAACGTGCATACATCTGAAACAACTACGATACTATTGTGAAAATTAAAGAAAATATTCTAGATACTTTTGGGAAACGTATTGAAGACAAGCTGGAAATTGTATATGAACTCCAAAGAAACTAAGAAAAAACTAGAAAGAAGCTTCGTGGAAACTATTTAAAAAATATTCCAGCAAACATAAAAATTTGATACGTTTTATTCATTTCGAACGTGCTTCCTACAGTGATCCACAAGTGATTTTCATTAGTTTTGTTTGGGTTTTATTCTTGGTAATCCCGTTTGACAAAACTCCCTTCAGTTGTACTTTTATTTGCTCTTTTATTTCAGTGAGGTTATGAGTACTTAGATGCGAATCCAACCTGAATTGTGCCTTGCTGAGAAGTTTCAGAAGATAATTCTTTCATGTTTGCCACTTCGCTAACTATGACGGGGCTCGAGCTGCCCGGTCAGCTCATGGGGGTCCAGGGGGCAGCGCCTCTTGATGGGTCCGGGGCAATGCCATGGCGAGGTTGAGGGGCAGTGCCCTCGAAGCAAAATGCAAAAATGCATTCGAAATTGCTCCTCCGCTCGAGCGGAGAATCCTTGGTTCCAGAAGTTTGATCGCCTGCAAAAATACTAGAAGATGTTTTTTCCCGCTCGAGCGGAATTTCCAGTGCTCGAGCGTCGGTTCGCTCGAGCATCCATTCCTGCGCTTGAGCGGAGATCGCGAAACAGATTGCTATAAATATGTGTTTCAACCAGATTTTAGGGTTAGGCTTCCAGATCTTCTTCTTAATATTAGGGTTTATATCTGGGGTTATTTTGCTAGTTTTCTTTGATATTTAATTGAGTATTCAACTCATAGTTTAAGAAGTATACATCAAAGGATTGTTTGTTTATTCTATACAAAAGAGAGAGTTGTTCTTCGGTGGATTTTGGAGAATTCGAGCCTAAAGCTTTGATGGATTCTGGAGTGGCTCATCGTCGTGATTCGACATTGGCGTTGTGGATTCAACGTTGGGCAAGACAATTCCGAAGTGAAGACGGGGCTGGAAGAGGCACATAGGGGTTGGTTCAATTTGGGCGTGGATTCGCTAGGTAATTGAGAGTATATCTGTGTAATTCCTTTATATCTTTTTAGTGGATTGTTTTGTGGTTTTTGCCCGTAATTTTTTATCACAATTGGAGGCGCTCCAATTGAGATTTTTTCACGTAAAATCATTGTGTTGATTTATCTTTAATTGTTTGATTGGGATTGCTATTTACTAATTAAAATTGATACATAATCATAAATCAATATCTAGAGGATTTCTAGATTTTTCAAGTTTGAATATTGTTTCTCCTTTAGTATTAATTAAGCATCCAATATGTTCTACTAAAGTATCCATTGAAGTACTCATAGATTTTCATTAAGTTTTTTCATTGTTTCCTATTTTTTGGCTGCATTTCTGGCTTCCAGTTTCCTTATCAATTCCGGTTTCTACTTCCAAATCCAGTAACTATGTTTTGCACTTCCCACCTATCAGCAACCAATGTTATAAGTGCACTTCAACAGACATAAAACCGGCTTCAAATACTTCAGTCTCATCTAATGTACATAAAAAATGCAGTTTAGATAACAAACCAATGGGATGGTTATGTTTTGTATTCATTTCTATGCCAACATTTCCTTGTTGGAAAATCATTGGTCAAGCAGAACCATTCATCAAAAGCAGCTGCTTCCTCCCAATATTATTAAAAGTGAGTCCAAAAAAAAAAAAAAAAAAAAAAAAAAAAAAAAAAAAAAAAAAAAAGGGGTAACTGTGCATTTGTCCATATTGACATCAATATTTTTTATCAACATCTTCCTTGGGAGTGGGGAAGGGAATTTTGTTTGTCTTAAGTTGAAACTTTTTTGTCAATTACAAAAGGTGGTTACTCTCACATTCAGTCAAAACAATGGACAAATAAAAACTAAACAGGAATATGATTCCAAATACCGTTCTTTGTTTTTTTTTTATTCTCCCCCAATTGAGTAATACCTGATACGTATCGGAGTCACTAGATGACGCTTTAGCACGATTTCTACGTCCTTCCAGTGTGGCATGCACATTTACATAACTAATCATAGGTGTCTAAAATCAACAATGCAAAACTTTTATCAGTCATTGAAAAAAATTGAAATTTTACTTTCAACAAATATACTAGAGTAATGCCAGACAACAACGCAAAACTGATTTGAGAGAACAAGCATACTTCATCTGCAATATAATCAGTTTCAGTAGTGCCATCCATTTCAACTGTGGCTCCATACCACGAAAAAACCTGAAACATAAAATCCAACATACATCAACAAGAGGCAACAGAACATAGCAGCTTACAATAGAAAGAGTGATTCATTTCCAATCACTCAAGCTGTGTTTGGTTGGAGAATTTGATGAGAGAAATGGAAAGGGAAAAAGAATTTCAATCCCACTTTTTGTTTGGTTATAATGGAAAGAATAGGGGAAAAGAAAGTGAGAGGGAAATTCAATCCCACTTTTTATCTTTTGAATTCACTTTGACCTTGTAAAGGTAAGTATATTAGAAAAAATGACAAAAATAATAAAAATTGTTCGTTATATTTTTTGAACTAAACTCACGAACATATGAACGAAATTTGAGAACACAAGTCTGAACATTGTTCGAACATATAAACAAATTCGGGAACACAGGTCTAAATATTGTTTATTTGTTCAGAAATAGGTAATTGAACATTTCTTATTTGTTTCGGGAACAGATAACCGAAGTAGCAGAAGCAAGCAAACAAAGGAGAATAGACCATCCTTAGGTGGTCGATCGGCCAGTTGATGGAGGGGGGAAATCCTGCCCAATTTTGCTCACACAGGAAGCATAAAGTACAGTGATGCCATGGATGAATCGCAAAAAACAAACCACTGAAGCATGAAAGTGGATTGTGTTGTGTGTGTGAAAAGAGGTAATAGAAAAAGAAAAAGAACAAAAAAATTAATAGATTGACAAACCTCATAATGAAATAGAGAAAAAACTTCTTAATCACCACAAATATTTTTCACCGATTTTGGAAGGTTCCACCGTCATGGGTTTTGTTAGGGTTTTGAGAGAGATTTTTTGGGGTGTGGGGAGTGTGGGGTTGTGCATTTGAATAGGTGAAATGTTTTTATAAAAATAATTTTGAAATTATTTAGGAAAAAAAATAAATTTTAAAAATTTTAGAATTTATAAGTGAGAGTCTAAAGAAATCGGGAGTCCAAACTAACTGATAGTGCTAATAGCATCACTCTTTGTGTAATATGACAAATATGAAGCATTAGATGATAATTCTGAACAGTTTTGGGATACTTATTTTCTTATAAGCTCAAACTTTAAAGATTTTTTATTTTTTTATAATTTATCTTTAATTTTTAGAGAAAATACGTATCAGTAGTTTTAGAAAACAATTACAGATAAATGAAAAACTTTATTAATATTAATAATTAAAATCATAAAATTTTCAATAATTTTTTAATTTTTAAAAAAATAAAAATACATTGAAATGTAATTCTTTCTTTATATAATTCTTCCTTAACTTTTTTTTTGTGGTAAAAGGGCCATTTTAGAAGCTCCCTGCTGCTACTTCCCGTACAACTCAGGGGGCCGGCTTGTTCTTGGCTAATGCGTTCAAGATCGTCCTGAGTGTGTATGTATCTATCTAAACTAAAAATATCTTAACAATAATATAATATAATAAGAAGTTAGGGATTGGTAGCCTTACGGAGAATTTGAGCCTGGGAGTCAAAGTGAGCCAAATTCCGGGAGAGATTTCAGTGCCGAAGATCTCAGCGGTGCCAGTGAGGAGACGAAGTCGGAGAGGTGTGTCCGGACCGACTTCGATTCTAAGCTCGCACTCCTTCCCTACCTTCACCTGCCTCACCACCGCCGTTGACGCCGGACCTACGGGGGCGCCTCCGTACTCCATCATCATCGACCTCTTTTTTCCGGTGAAACTCTCTCTTCTTTGCTCTTCTTTCTGTATTTGAATATTCTGAAAGAAACTCCGGGAATCGCAAGGGCCATTTATAGGCCGCACAGTGAGTGGCCAGTTTAGCCAATTGAAATTATATAAATTTATGTGGGGTCAAATTGTAAATAAATAAAAAAATTGGAGGCAAAATAACATTAAAAACACACACACACACGTCTCAAACCCTAGCTACATCGCAGGACGGCCCAAAGCTTTCTCTTCTTTCTGTGAGCTCTCTTCAATAGAAGACGACATTGTTCAGGTGAGCCCGTAATTGAATGTTTAGCTATTGACTTTTATTGCTATGTTATGCTTAATTTTTATATGTTGGGATTTTGGGATAGTCTGCTTGTTTAAATTCTTACTGGAGTTGTTAATTTGTTATGGATTTTTTAGATGATTATTTTTTCTCTTGTGGCTTGCTGGAAAGCTTGGATTTTTTTGGGGGTTTTATTTTGAGAAGTGAGAACATGTCTTGTTTGCTGCAATTACACTTATTTAATTAGTCACATACATTGAATAGGTTGTATTTGATAGCATTGATAAATAATCTTTTGTTTTTTGTGATATGAGGTATGAGGAATTTAAATTATCTTTGTCAAATTTTTGAAAATAGATGATAGATATAGATAAGAGTGTAAATTTGTGTTTCTAGAATTTATGCTACTTAAAAAGATTTTCATTGACCACAACTAGAAAGTATTTCATGGAGTTGTAGAGGACAGGGTAAGGGGCAACAGAGACTTGGAGAGTTAACTGGTGAGCGACGAAAACAGGAGTGCAAAAAATGGGGAAGACAACGTACATGAAACTAAAGGGAAGCCAGAACCTGAGGCAGCGTCTCGTTCTCTCGACACTTGCTTCCACTCCAATTGTTATCGAGGATATCCGCGCTGATGAAACCTGGCCTGGCCTCCGCCCCCATGAGGTCTCCTTCCTCCGCCTCCTCGAGAAGATTTCTGATGACTGTGTCGTCAAGATCAACGAAACTGGTACCACCCAAATTTTTCCGCTTTCCCTCAATACTTAAAATGATGTATAAGACTTTAATTTGTATGTCTCTTTATATATATAACACACGTACTAATATTTTTGTATAATTCTTGTCTGTTTGAAGGATAGAGTTTTATGGCTATAAGTTAATTTCTTAAAAAATGATAATTAATTTTGCAGGCACAAAATTGAAGTATGAACCTGGGATTGTGAATGGTGGGAAACATCTTGTGCATGACTGTGGTGTTAGTCGGTCCGTTGGCTATTTCTTGGAGCCACTAATTGTGCTTGGATTGTTTGGGAAGAAACCCCTTTCAATAAGGCTAAAAGGTACTATAAATCTGTCTTCTTTTGATTTTTCATTTTTCCCTTATTGGCTGAATTTGATAAAGTTGTCTACAATTTGCTGTGATGTATCATCCCTCCACCACCTCCAAAACACACCCAGCCACCACCCTCCAACTCTCACTTGATGCTACCAGTTTCATACAGATATATATACACGGCAAACTGAACCACCACCCCCTACCCCTCCAATCACTATGGAAAAGCAAAATCAGCGAGGCTGTCAATAATGAGATTGTTCTTCTTGCTCTGTTGGCTGTTTTGTTTCCAATTGTGCACTCTGATTTGTGAAGTGTTGGTTAACTTATATTGAGTATTCTTGGGCCTATTATTTTTTCATTTTGCTACAATCTTTGCTCACTCTCATAGAGTACTGCTTCCATTATGGAGTTGTAATTTTTTTTAGTTTATCTCGTACTAATAATGCTACGTTTGGAACTCTAATGTTTTTTTTTGCTTTTAATGCTAATGCTTATGGCATATACACATATATGTGGTACTTTTGGTGAGAAGGTGATTGGGTTTGTTTGTGTTTTATATGAGAGAGAGAGAGGGAGAGAGAGAGAGAGAACTAATATGGCCCTGGGCAACTCTTTGGTGTGGTGTTGTGTCGTGTGGTGTTGTGTGTGTGTGTGTGTGCGTGAAAGAGAAGCTAAGTTGGTTGGTTGTTGGTCTTGGCTGCATATAAGACTTGATTGTTGGCCTTGGCTATATGTAAGTGCCTTAAATGCATGACAAATGCATTTTGGTCTTAGCAATGGTATAAAGAGAGAGAACTAATACGGCCCTGGGCAACTCTTCGGCGTGGGGTGTGTGTGTGTGTGAAAGAAACACTAAGTTGGTTGTTGGTCTTGGCTGCATATAAGACTTGGCTGTTGGCCTTGGCTATATGTAAGTGCCTTAAATGCATGAGAAATGCACTTTGGTCTTAACAATAGTGGCAAAGGGTGGTTTTGGCATTTTTGAAAATCAATTTTGCTGTTTTTGGTAGATTATGCTAGCATCTCTAGTAGCGGATTGTGTAGTTTGTAAGCTACTCAGAAAACCTTAGGAGCGGATTGTGTAGTTTGCCCTTGATTTTTTATTTTTGTTATTTAACATTTTCTTTAGGTAAAATACACACAAGTTGTTGGACACTATAATTTGAAGAATTCTGGGAAGCATTCAATCATGAGTACATGTCATTGGTGTTTTCCGACTGCTTGTTAGTTATTGCGAGAAAAGGTGAACAATTAGTGATATTTGAGGAAAAGCTTATCAGCTGTAAATATTATCTGTAACTGTAAGGTTTTGCCATTATATTATTAGATATTGCTTGGTTTTTTATGCTGGAAACCTTCTAGAATGGATTAGCCATGAAGCTTAGCAGTTGATGCATTTACCAATTGAAAAGCTTTACATGTATATCGATTATCAATATAAATTATAATGATTTTAAACACTGTTTTAGGTAGAAATGAATCCAGGGTTTGGAGTACTCATTATCATTATAAATTATATCTATGTTGCTTTCAGGGATTACAAATGATTCTAAGGATCCATCTGTTGATACTTTCCGATCAACTACCTTACCAATCCTGAAGCATTTCGGAGTTCCTTCAGAAGGATTGGATCTGAAAATTGAGTGCCGTGGTGCTCCTCCTCATGGTGGTGGAGAAGTTTTTCTTTCGGTTCCTACTGTCCGAAGTAGTTTAACAGTGAGATACTTCATCTAAGTCCTGTTCTATCATTTTCTGCATCATTTTTCTCTTATTATGTATTGTTCTACAGGCAGTCACCTGGATTGACGAGGGCATGGTGAAGAGGATTAGGGGAGTTACTTTTTCAACAAGAGTGTCTGCTCAGTTTGAGAATACCATGATACATGCAGCTCGAGGAATTTTTAATCGCCTGCTTCCGGATGTCCACATATTTACTGATCATAAAGCTGGAGTTCAAGCTGGAAAGTATGTTTAGGGATTTAGTATATACATCCTCTAGTGGTAGTTCACTTGTTTGGAATACACAATTATGTTTTTAGTTTCTTTTATTAGAACATGTTATGATTAGTACCATCTGGGGATCTTTAATGGCAGGTCACCTGGCTATGGAATTTCACTAGTTGCTGAAACTACTACTGGCTGCTTCATCTCTGCTGATAGTGCAGTGTCTTATGCACGTGGGGATGAAGAGGGTGAAATTGAAGACGAAGAGAAGAAAGAGCTTATGCCACCAGTGGATGTTGGGGAGCAAATTGCTTCTATATTGCTTGGGGAGATTGAACAAGGAGGTGTGGTGGACTCAACACACCAGGTTTGTTTTCAAATTTTTATTTTACATTTCTCTTTGTATACATATCTCTTTTTTTTTCTTTTTTTTTTCAGCGAAAGTCAATGGTTAGTTGTTAGATTAACACTTCAGGGGAGTTGAAACTCACACCCATGCACCTTTCAATGCTCCCATTTTACTCCTAAGAGTGGAAACCCAAGACTCCCCCTTAGGAGAGACTTGGTGGCCAAATGGCTAGCCAACTAGGCTATACATATCTCCTCTCACACGCTCGCACCCTCTCTTGTTTGCCTGCTACATATTGAATGATGTAAAATCAACAAATTGCAATGACTTAGGGTCCTCTTCTTTTGGGCAACAACGAAAAGAACGTTAAATCCCAATTTAATTTCCTACAACAGTGTTGTTACAAACGGTTAAGGGTAGTTCTTTTAAGGGCTAAGTGTGTAACCATATAAGCTACTTTGGGGTCTTCTATCATACAAGCTTACCAAACACTGACCATGAGTTGACTTTTACAAATAAATAAATACAGTAAAACCAGGTTAGAGTGCTAAATCAACTCCACTTTAATATGCATATCTGTTGATAACAAAATGAGGTTGAAAATTGAAAGTACTTTGACTGGCTTTGAAGCTTTAGATTGTCAAATTGCAATGCTTTCTTGATATTTACTTTATGAGATAGATAGTCATTGCTGTTATATTTGGTTTGGCAGGGTTTGTTGTTCATTCTTTGTGCATTATGTCCACAAGATGTTTCAAAGGTTCGCGTAGGGAAACTCTCGCCATATGGAATAGAAACACTGAGGAACATCAGAGACTTTCTAGGCGTTAAATTTGTCATCAAGCCAGATCCATCAACAGGGACAGTCATACTTAAATGCGTCGGGTGTGGATTGACGAATTTATCCAGAAAGGCATCATGACAAGTGACAGTTAATGATTCTTCACGGTTGATAGGTTGCTTGTGGATCAAAGTATATTCAAAGAGCCTGTCGTGCATGTATGCATGTTTTATTGGCTTGCAATTTTGATACGGATGGTTGTAACTTATGAAGTTTTAGTATCAATTAAGTTTTATGTTTTGTGAAGCATGTAATTGGAGCTATATTATTCACAGCATTGCTATGAAACAAAACTCTCCCAACTTATGATGTTTTGTCATGCATATTTTGTGGAATGTTTCTATTATGTAAGCTGTATAGGTTTACCTTTTCTATTATCCCCTATTCCCATTACGGGAATGGTGACATCCGGCAAGAAATTAAATTAGAAGGGCACTTATTAATTATAATATTAAAAAATTTTATAAAAATATTTCAAATAAATTTTTAGATTGACTTCGAGAAAGATAAAAAAAAAAAAAAAATAATGTTATTTGTATCTAGTGTATCATGGACAATACGAAAAAAGTTATGGATATAAGTTTTAAAATAAATTATATAGTGAGAAAGTAATATTTTATACAAAATTTTAGGAAAAAATAAATATAATAGTAATATCACGTCATCATTGATATGTGATATCACTAACCAATAGTAAGGAAACACAAAAGATGAATCCTGCATATCAAATGTAATTAACAGTCTAATAAATTTTATATCTTCATAGTGAGATTAATTATATTTGCATGTTAATAATAATAGGCATCATTGTTACATTAAAAAAATTTCATAAAATTTTCAGAAATAATATGACCTATCGTAGTCTATTTATTTTCAATCAAAACAATCATTATTGTTTTCATAATTTTAAAAATATAATTGATATTTCACTCTAAATAATATTTTTGTAATTTTTTTTTATTTAAAAAACTTTCTTTATGTCTATAAAAAAAAAGAAAAATGATTTGGAGCCCTAAAAAAGCTCCCCTTAATCCCCAAAACGACGTCATTTTGGGGAACTTTTTTTTTTTTTTTTTTTTGCCTTGGTTTGAAAATTCGGAGAATTAGGGGGGGTGGATTTTCGGGAGACATAGCACAGCCAAAAAAAAAATCCAAAACCCAAGGGGCACGTGAACCGCTACTTCCTCCATACTATCGTCCCTAGTGACATCAATTGCCACACGAAAAATTGTTGGTTACCTGTTTTTGAAAAATTTTGGATTTTTTTAAAACCCAACTTTTTGAAAAACACAAAACTTTTTTGTTTTTTTAAAAACTAATTTTGTTCAAAAAGAAAAATAATATGAAATTGATGAGTTTTAAAATTTGTTATAGTTTTTGGTAAAAAAAAAAATTAAATAAAGAAAACAAAATGTACAATGTTAAAAAGACAACTGTAAAATACATGGAGATGCGGGGTATCGATCCCCGTACCTCTCGCATGCTAAGCGAGCGCTCTACCATCTGAGCTACATCCCCTTGTAATGCCATGTCTTCTGAATTTAATTATTATTTGTAATTATAATTGCCATTGCTTAAATTGGTTGGTTCGTGGTGATTCTGTTTTAACACTGGGTTGGACCCAGACACGATTTCATTTCTCGAGTTGTTCCCCAGCCCATTTATGTTAACTGAACTGGACCATTCATCCCTTCGACTCACCCAAAAAACAATCCTAATGGGCTGTGGAAAAAAGTAAGAAAAAAAATATATATATATATATATAGAGAGAAAATTATTTTTAAAAATTCTAACAAAAAAATTCAAAATTTTTAATTTTATCAATTTAAATTCTAATTATTTTATTTGTTTTTAATGTAAAGGATCAGCCAATTTCTGTTAAGTAAAATCAACAGAAAAAATAATATTTTAGTTATTAAACTCAATAAAAAATAGTATTTTAAATAATTTAGGTTGAAAATAAATCAAAATTTTAAAATTTAAATTAACAAAAATAAAAATTAAAGATTTATTTTGTTAAAAAAATCAAATCTTAAAAAAAAAGTTGTAAATATATTACGGGCTACAAGCTTGGATTAGGGGTGGGCGCGGGTCGGTTGCGGCCACGAAACCTCCAATCCGCCATCCGTCCGCCAGATTGGCGGATTGGAGAAAATCAATCCGCATTCGTCCTCCAATCCGGCGGATGTGGATTGAGCGGATTGACGGATGGATGCGAATCGGTTTGGCGGTTTAAAATTTTATAAATTTTCAACATAATTCAACTTGCGCACTTCCTCAAAAAAAAAAGTATTACAGTTAATGACTTAAAAAAGTATTATAATTACTGCATGTCTCATCCAAAGAAAGAAAGTTTGAAACTTTAGAATATCACAATCACTACATGCCTCATTCATATATTACAATCACAACATGCCTCATCCACATAAAATATTATAATCTGTGATTCTTAAAATATAAAAACAATGCAAACCACCAAAACCAAGAACAAAGCAATATTAGAAATTATATGTCCCTGTATTGTTACATTTATATATGTTTTTGAAAACAAAAACCAACCAGCATATATTATATTTTCCATTTATTACTTTTAGAGTTAGATTTAAAAACCAAAAAATATAAATAAATAATATGTTTATTTTTTTCAATTCAAAAAATATATTCAAGTTAAAAAAAAAATTTCAACAGAATATTTGAATTGAAAACATAAACAAAATATTCAAACAAATTGAAAACACGAAATCTTATAAATTACTAAGGGTACTCGCAGTTTGACGGTTCGGTTGCGGCCAAAGGAACCTCAAATCCGCCATTCGTCCGCCAAATTGACAGATTGGAGAAAATCAATCCGCAACCGTCTGCTTGACATCACGCATCCGTCCAAAATGCGGCGGATCGGTGCGGTTCGATCAGTTTTGACAGATCGATATATCCGCTGTTCACCCTTAGCTTGGATTACATAGTTGTGAATAATATACAATATACCTTTGATTCAATGAGGTGGTCCGCCAAAAGCTAAAAATAAACCAATGAAATGGTGGGTATGTATTGTTCATATTGTGAACAAATCTTCTCTGAACTTGGTGTAAAAAGAAAAGAAATTGTGAGAATAATAATTTTATTTATTTATTTTGATAATTAAGTTGATGAGAAATTGTGAAAAAAAAACTTTTATTAAAATTGTGTTTTGTTTTTTACTAAAAATAGTAAAATTTAACGAGAAAAGAATTGAATTTAATAGTAAAACTTTTCAAAAATACCAAAATTACTCTATGGCGAAGGAAGCTGAAAAAATAATTTATTTATATAACAGATTATTTTGATAAAGTAAAATAAAATACTTTATTTTTTTTCCTATTATTTACTTTATTTAAGTGAAATAAGTGAGGGGTGATTTTGAAAGTTGGTTAAAAGGTGACTTTTTGACATTTTTTTGACTTTTTTTTCCTTTTGTATGTAAAAAATGTGAGTGGTGATATGACCCATAAAAGATTCTCCACTCTTGGATTATAAATATAATAAAATACCATACACTAATTAAAGGATAAAAAAATTTCATGAAACATTTTATGATATTTTTTTCATAATTCCTAATATTGTTCGACCCAAAATGAATTAAAAATTTAAAACTAACTTTTTTTTTTAGCTTCCCAAATGACCTCTGAAAAATCACATTCTTATCTTTTGTCACTAGTGGTAACTTGGGCTATGCACGGACTAGTAACAAAAGGTGGTAAATAATACTGTGGTGTTTGGGAACTTGGTTCCCAAATTTTTTTCTCATTTTTTCCACTAAAAGACAAAAGTTTTGCAAAATCAAAAAAAATAAATCCAAACAAAATATCACATCCAACTCTATAATCATTTCACTTTTTCTCTCACAAACATCACATCCAACCACAAAAAAATCCAACTATCTTTCCAAACACTAAAATTTTTTTATCCAATAAGATCTTACAACTAAAAAAACCTACATAAAAACCCACTTCCCAAACACCCACTAAATATGTTAAAAATTAATAACAAAATTCTATGATATTAATTTAGATAGGTACTTAAATAATAGATTTGATTGATCTCAACTAAAAAAGAAAGGTCAGAGTGAGATTCTATAAATATAATATAAAAATAAAAATAAATTAAATTTGAATTTGAAGGTGAACTATAAGAATATAGGAAGTGAAAATCAGATAAATCTCAGAAAAAGAATAAACTTAATTGAAAATCAAGAGTAAGAGTAGATCTTGTAAATATAAGATAAAGATCAAAAAAAAAAAAAAAATCAAGTGCAAATGTGAAGATAAATTATAAGAATATAGAGAGAGAAATTTAGATAAATCCTAGAAAAATGAGGTAGAGAGAAATTTAGTAAATATCAAATGAAGATTGAAAAAAAAAATCAAAATTGAAATTTAAAAATTCAAAAATAAGATAAGATAAACTTGATAAGAAAAACAACATCTAATATAACTCTAATAATAGAAGAATCAGAGAGAATAGTAGTTTAAAAATTAGATAAGAATAAAATGCCACTTATAATTTTTTAAAATTTGTAAAAAAAAGAACTCAAAAATAAGAACCGTAGTAAGTTAAAAATTATATAAGAATTAAATGCAATTTATAATTTTTTAAAATTTAAATTTTGTGTAGTTAAAAAATAATATTGTTAGGTAACGTTTACGTTTTCAGTTTATATTACAAAAATTTTATAAACTGGTTTTTGTTATTTTTTGTTTATTTAGAAAAACATAAACTACAAACACGTTTGGTAAATGACAAAAAGTTTAAAAAAATTTAAAATATAAAAAAGAGTGAGAAATGGCAAGTGGCGGCGGAAGACGGTGGTGAAAAGTGTGGCGGTAGGTGTGGTAGTTGTGGTGGCGGGTGGTGGCGGGTGGTGTGGTGGTGGTGGGTGGGTGGGTGATGTGCCGTAGTGGGTGGTAGCGATGGGTGGTGGTGATGGTGTGCGTGTGTGTGGTGGTGGTGGTTGGGTGGTGTGGTGGGTAACGTGGTCGTGTGGGTGGTAGCGAGTGGTGGCGGGTGGTGGCAGGTGGTGGCGGGTGGTACTAGTGGCGGGGGTAGCATGTGGGCGCTGGTGGTAGGTGGCTAGTGGTGGCAGGTGGGGTGGTGAGTGGTGCAAGTAGGTGGCAGGTGGTAGTGGCGGGCGGTGGGTAGTGGCGAGTGGATGGCATGAGTGGTGGTGGGTGGTGGTGGTGGTTGCAAGAGTGGATGTGTGTGCGAGTGGTGCTGGTGGGTGGTTGGTGGTAGTGGCGGGTGGTGTGGTGCATGTGGTGGGTGGTGGCAGTGGTGGTGAGTGGTGTGGGC